ATCATTGATGCTAACTGATCAAAAACTAGCTTGGTAGTAAAAGAGTAAATTTACGGTTTTGATTGCTATTAAATTTCTGAAGTATTTAACCTTATTGTTAATTTCACATTTCGTGAGTTTGAAATGAGGGTTTTTAAATTTCAAGGATTACATCATATCCACAGCATCGTTACCCTACTGCCTTTGTGAGTAGTTGCTATGAGCTTCTTAGTCTATATCCTTAGTATACCACTGTCTGTTTTTCAGTAGTAGGTCCCTAACTCTCCATCTTTATAGTCTACATCAAACCAGCTCTTTAATATGTTATATGTAATAGAGCCATAGTTCTTCACATTCTCTGGTAACAATTCATCTTCAATCATTGGTATTCCCTAAGATTGGTCTCTATATCCTGGGATATCAGAGTATAGTTGGAACTCAACTGACTACATAATACAGGGTAATGGAGTGTTAGCTATCTTTATGAACAAAAGTTTATGAGAAAGCTGTTGAAGGAATTATTAGTTCAGCTAGAACTGGGGTGTGGAAATACCTCAGAGAGGGAGTACCACTCGAATCGGTCCTTTAAGAATGAACACAGTTTCATTTTGGGCAGAGGACGCAGGATGACAAAGTCTGAAAGTGAGTAGTCCTCAACTACAGCAGCACAGCAGATGGCAGGAAGGATGGCTGCAGAATCAGACGCTCTGATGGAACCGGCAAGAGCCGGCTGTGGAATGTTTGGTGCTCAACCAAGAAGCCTGGAAGCAGAGATGTCTCCTTTGATTCTTGGATCAGTTATTCTTGAGAACACATTGGATAATAACTTTTTTCTTGTAGGTACTGTTAAAATAATCTATAAAGTGTTTCCTAGATCCCTAGTAAACCAGAAAACTCTCTGTTGCTTTTTTTCCTTTCCCTTTGAGTCCAGCCTATTGAAGACAGTAGTGTAAAGGCTAACGGCATGGACATACAGTATGACTTCCTGCTTGCTGTTCTCACTAGCTCTACTTACAACTGGGCCAACTAATCCATGCTATGGCACCTCCACACACCACTTTTTTCCTTATAAAGGAGGATAGTGACAATCTCTATTTGGGAGGGCTCCTTTGATGATTCTATTACGGCTTAGTAAGAGTTTGCTGTTCATCATTTACTCAGCAATAATTAACCATTTATTGTGGAGCAGTTCTTGTGCTAGATTCTTAGCATATGGTGACAGGCTACACAGACTGCAGCTTTGTAGCCTGATGATTTATTTTTATTACTACTATTATCACATAAGGGATGGCTTTAATAAATACCATTAAAACAAAGTGTGTTCTAGCCATGTTAATACCCTGTCCCTGGGTTTGGACTGATTCATTTTTCATCCAGCTGTGGAGTGTGCTACAGGACTAGTTGACTCAAAAGAGCTGCCATGCCCAGTGTTCATGTAAATCCTGCATTCATAACATCATGCAGTCTTGGTAGCCTCATCATTCAAGCCATGTGCTGTAGACAGAGTGGTCCTGGAGGGTTTTAGATATGAGCAGCTTCAGAAGGATGGCCAAGCCATCCCCAAATGAGTTCTGGACTTAGAATAATCAACTTTGGGTTGGCGGGGTTTCTCTTAAAACTTGCAGTCAATAGTTCTTGGGAAGGCAGAACTCCAGAATCCACACACGCTGTGATAAAGTCATCATACTTTACTGCTGGTGAAGTGAGCGCAGAAAGTGAGGTAGATGGCATCAGGTAGATATGATGGCAATCATTCTTAAAGACAGCTTGGGTCTGCTGACCTCTGACATAAGCACTGGCATAGTTGGAGCACATGGCAGGTGACCAAAATGGAGTGACACTAACTCTTCAGAACAACCTGAAGTTCAATGTTTGCAGTAGTGGACTGGTTAACAATGCTCTGCTTCTGTTTGTCTTGTCTCTTTGTTGTTTGTTTGTTTGTTTGAGACAAGTTCTCACTCTGTAGTCCTAACTATCTTGGAACCTAATTATGGAGCCCTCGTTGGCCTAGAACTCACAGTGAATGCTGTAATTACAGATGCATGTACAAACGCCTTTTGAAACAAGGTTGTTTTCATTTTTCTTGTGTTGTGTTACCTTAACTTTTCCTCCATTTATTTGCTCTGCAACTTACTTTTCTTTGCTTAAAAATAATTCTTAGCAGCTGTATATTTGGGTGCAGATTAACTTTGATTAATGATCACCTTCTCTTCCTTCTGGGAAAATCTTAAGCTATCTGTCAGCAATACCTCAGCCTCTAATCAAGACTGGGTAGAATGCTTCATTCTCTCCAGTGAGATAACTATCCCTAAAGTCCTGAACATTCTTCCTTTGGTGTCTTAGTTTGTCCTGATAATTACTTTGAATTTTTATCTGTGTAAAGTTCATGATCTTTAATTTATGGGAGCTATACCTTCCATGGCTAATGTTAGATCCCTCAAAAAATATTAGCATGGGAGGCCTGCCCATTTCTGAATGGAGACAGAGGAAGAGTATATGGGGAAGGGGGGAGGGAGAAGAGGAGGGAGGGGAAACTGTGGCAGTATGTAAAATAAATGAAAAAAAGTTAATTTAGTAAAAAAAAAGAATGTCATATTACAGCAACACAGCTGTGCTTTTTAACTCTCAGTTAAAAATAAAAACTAGTCATATTTTTAAAATACTAGATTTTAAAAATTCATCCTTGAAAATCTCCTCTTAAAAGAAATTCACAAACTTGAAGAAAAGTAGTAGAAGCAGATATGATCTGCATGGATGTCAAGGTCAAGATATTCAGAACTGGACAAAATTGAAAACTCATTGTCAGTGTTCTCCAACTTAACTAAACTACTGTAGATTATATTTTACAAAAGCTTACCCAGCCTCCAAGGAAATATTTGGATCAATTACAGTGTTCCTTCCTATACAAAGGACTGATATATATATATATGTATATATATCAATATATATATATATATAAACATCTATGTATAGCTGGGAAATTATTCTGAAGAAGTAGAGCTTCCAGAAAGTTAAGGGTTGTAATAAAATGCATTGTGTTCATTGGAAAGTTAGAGATAGTAGATGAAGGTTTCCAATCAAAAGAACAGAGTAGAAACCTTCATTTGGAAGGTTTCCTGGAAACCAAACAGCACAATTCTGGGGTGACACTGTAGAGTGTACAAGTACCTTCTTGGAAGCCACGTGGTACATTTTTAGCTCACCTCTCACATGCCTGCATCAGTCACATGGTGAGTCAGGTCTTTTTGACCTGAGGTTACCTGACCCAGTAAAGCCACTGTGCCTACAATGTCTCTCACATTTAAAATCACATCCCCAACCCCAGTCTGTCTTCTCAAATAAGCAATGTTTATTTATGAACCATTACTAACTTGTGGATTGTGACAGCAATTAAAGATGGCAGGGAAAAAGAAGCTAGTCATTCCTAGAAACGGTGGTAGCCACCTAAATCTTAGCTCTGTTCCCAAGAAAAGTTGAAGAGGCACACTATTTCAGAGGGTTTCTGTTATTTAAAGAATACTCTGTCTGCAGTCTTGTCTAGGAAAAAACCCTAAGGGCCACATTCTAGATATCCGGGACTGCTTGCCTGGTGGATTGGGTTTGGAGAGACTACACAGTAAGATGAGCCAAAGCTGAGGTAATGAGCATGCTCTGTCATAGTTGCAGTCTTTCCTAGGCTGGCTGCCATCAAGCTCCCGTAGTTGGCATGGAGACCAGACAGTTTCACCAGCATTGACTTCTGCTTTAAAGGAAGAACTCAAACAATGCTTTAACTTTCTTTGCAAGAGAATCAATCAGGTCAAGGAGTAAAAATCAAATATGAATTTGATTGGCTTAAATTGTATGTTTTACCCCATAGTGATCATTAAGCATACATAAAGCACTGAAATATACAATCATTCATGCCCTCATAGAAATTTTAATCTAATTGAGATATTCAAAATAACAGTATGGCCAAGATATAAATTATTAGGTAGTAACTATAAATGAACTATAAAGAGGGACACACACACACACACATATCACACACACACATATCACACACACACACACACACATATATGATCATATATGATATATATGAGATCATCCAAAAGGCTTTTGTGGAAGATGTCACTGTAGTGACAATTTTGAGAGGTAGAGACCTGGCAGGAGGAGAGCATTCCAGGCAGAGAGAAATGTTATTCTGGGTCACTTTGTGTCCCCTTTAACTGTGCCTACCCAAATGAAGGGTCCCACAGTATGCCGTTTTTGTTACCTTTGACTGATAACTAATTAGTTTTGGCATTATGCTTAACTTAGTAAACTGCGCTAGGAGCTGGACATTAAATTTTAGGCTAAAGTTTGGAGATTTTGAAGCTGAGATGGCTGCTTTGCATCTGAGCTCTGGTTTTATTGACTTCAAATATGTCAGCAACACTTAAAATACTCCAGGAGTCACTCACTGGGATCTGGAACCTGTAAAATCCTCAGTGCCTTGTCCCTGCCACAGCAGGTACTATGTATAAAGAAGAAGCAAGGGGATGTAGGACGAGTCCTACTGGCCCGTCCAGGGTCCCGCCTAATTCCTATGACGCGCCTAGTGCAGGTGACATGTTCTCTAAGGTGTGGAGAGGCAGTTAATTTCTGGAGAGTAGGAGGTGTGGGTTCACCTCTTGTTTGTTTTACAGTGGGGCATTATCTGAATGATACTCATTCTCTCTGTAGTGTGGACTTCGCACAACAGCCAGCAACTGGCCATTATTTCACAATAAGCACAAGCCGCTGAAAGGCACACGGAGCTGGTGCCTCTTTTCTGAAGACGTTTTTGGTTGAGAAGAGCTTCTTGGTTAAGGATTTACTGACAGGAAGAACAAACCCATTGGGAAGAGAAGAGCTGTGGGTTTCCTGCCCCAGGCCCTACGAAGCTATGCCGTGAAAAGGCTCCCGACCTATTGGCACAAAGCAAGTTGGACGGGACACTACTTCTCTTGAGGTCTGAAGGAAGAGACAGGAATTTTCTTGTTCAGAGTGTCTGAAGGATGGCTTCCCAGTTTCATCAGCTCCGGATCCTGGTGTGGAAAAATTGGCTAGGTGTCAAAAGGCAGCCGGTGAGGAGTTTTTTTGTTGTTGCTACTTTGTTTAAAGTGGGCGTGTGGGGGACACGAAGCAATACTCCGGGCAATCCTAAAACTCACGTGATGTTAATGAGGGGCAGACAGAGAAGAGCTTACAGGCATTTCTTCAAAGCAGAAATAAGATACTCAGAATGCTTGCCTGTCTGTCTTTCAGCTAATGGGGCGAGTCTTAACATGCCCCCAAAGCAGCCTTTTGATTTGAGTAAATTAAAGGAGTAAATCAGGGCAGTCCCAGGGCAAAGTTAAGGATGTACCTGGTTACTGGATGGACTGGAACTGTTATGGAAGTCTGGGTTTAAGCCAACGTGTTTCCAGAATTTTTCTTAATGACTTTGGAAATGGGGTGGGGATTTCTAATGGGATGAATGGAAGCACCATTTGAATGCATTTGAGATGGGAAGAAATGCTGGAGAGAGCTAAACATGGTAAGAACTTGGTTGAAAAGTAAGATTGTAGGTTGAAGGCTGCTAGTATGGAAAAGTTTCCAAAGGAATTCAAGTATCTAAAAATCATTTACTGGAAGTGAGATTATATGTGCTGGTTTGTTTCTCTGTGTGTACGCATTGTATGTATGTATCATATATACATACAAACATATTTTAAGGTATCACTGCTCTCACATTAATGTTTGCTTTTTAAATTACAAAGTCAGCTATTCAGAACTTCATCAGACAGGGTCTAGAAGGTGGAGGGAGAAACAAATTTCTGTGAAATTGTGTATTCAAAAGGATGTTTGAGAACTAGGAGATCCCAAACTACACGGAATCTACTTGGCTTTGAAGCAGCCTCTCCAGCCTCAGTTGGGTAATGCAGATATGCAAATAAGATGCACCATAAAACCCATCACTCTATCCAGGCACCTTATCTCACTCTATACTGACTAACTGACATCCTAGCATCCTAACATATGTACTAAAAGAAAAGATTAGTTAGATGCTTATATAACTTAGTGAATTTGATAGACAGGGCTTTAAATCATAAAGTGTCATATGATTGCATGAGTGTGATAGGAATACAATGACAAGGTCATCAACTTTTTTTTGTTTGCTAACTGTAAAAACAGCACAGAAAAAAATTCCCCATACTTTCCACATGGGTGATTCTTGGTGTCATTCAGCAGGCTAACACAGTCCTGGGTGTGAATGTCCCAAGCACGAGTTAGGGTTCCTCTCAAGATAATACAGCTTCTAACACTTGAACACTGATTTTCTCCCTTATAAAATGGGCACAAGGTCTGCTAGATATATCCTATAGTGTGGAGAGATATAAATGTGGACATAGATACCCAACTTCTTTCTAATGAGTACAAATTACTGAGGGAGGTGAGTAATATGGATGCTGTGTTTTATTCAAATTAATGATGAAAGAAAATCTATGGGAGCAGAGTATGGAAAAGAAGAAATTTACATGAAGTATGGAGGTGTTGACAATTCACTAGTTAGAAACAAAATCCAAAAAGGAAGTAAAAACTGGTATATTGTTGATAAAATCAATGCTAAGTTTGCAAGTTTTCTTGTAGTTTCTAAAATCTTAATCATTAACCCCCAGCTGCTCAAAACACACACCAAGATTTCAAGTTGATATTCCTTTCTTTAATCAATCTTTTAAAATGCCAAGTATCTTTTTCTGTATATTAATTCTGAAAATGCTATTCCAAAACTGGACTTTCATACTCAAGGAAATTCAAATTGAGGTGTGTAACTCTGGAAATTAATTGTCCTTACTGAATGTCTCTGAAAATGCTGGTATTGCCACCATGTCAGTCTTGCTTAATTTTTAAAAGAGGCTTCATCACAAAGCAAGATGGTGGGAAGGAAAGCTTTTACAGGAAAATAATGGAGTGCATGAATGCAGAAACATTGGCACAAGAAAGGAAAGACATAAAATATTAAGGAGACTGAGCACTGTTAAGGAATACAAATACATATACTGGGATAGAAAATATAACAAGAATTACAGACAACTAAATGGTTTGAGAAATAGCATGAGAATAGGATATAATACAAATACTCAGCTGGGGCATAATTTTGGGGGTCAACCTATCTTAAAACCACACTTGAAACAAATTTTATTCTTGCTTATAAAGGCAAAGATAAAAATTTAAAAATATTTAGGGTACGTAATTGACAATTTTACAGAGTTCCAGACTTATCCAAGGTCATATCATCAATTCAAGGATAAAATCAGATTTCTCCAGGGAGGAATCTGCTCTCTCTGTTATTATTTCTTTGTTTACTTCCCCATTTTCTCTAATCTTTGCTCAGGGTTCAGTGCACCAAAGAAGAGGTCATATCTTCTTTATAGGTCATAGCTATTGCTGTTTATTAAAAAGAATTTTGGTAATATAATTCTCAGTTATGTTGGGGAAATGTATTCTACAAGAAGACACAAAACTGTACTAAGTGCCACCAGAAATGGTAGGGAATAGAGAAAATCAATTAGATGCAATTTTTACCCTGCTGAGTTTGCAATTGAAAAACAATGGGGAAATGAAGATAGATTCGAGAAGAGATGCATAGCAACCAGAAGGCTCACCCAATGAAATACTACTCACTGGCAGGAAACAGGCATGGGCTAGTGGAGAGCTGTGGGCTGAAGGATGCTAAACAGGATGGGTGAGGGCTTATCTTTCATTAAGATCGGTCCTAAATAGGGCCTGTAAGTCTTGTCAGAAGTAGATTCTCCTTTTTTTTTTCAGAGACAGGGTTTTTCTGTATTGTTTTGGAGCCTGTCCTGGAACTCGCTCTGTAGACCAGCCTGGCCTCTAACTGAGATCTGCCTGCCTCTGCCTCCGGAGTGCTGGGATTAAAGGCGTGGACTACCAATGCCCGGTTTAGATTCTACTTTCACAAATCTGACCTGAAGAGGAAAAATCAGTGCCCGTTGATTACTTTCTGTTCAAAGTGCTTAGCTAGGGAATGCTACTCAAGTTTAGCTGATGACAGAAGTAGCTCCTATGGAAGTGTTCACATTTGCCCCAATGACATTTTAAATCAAGTTTGACCTTTCCTTCATCAATCTCTGTCCCCTTTTGCCCGTCTTCCCTTCAGAGTGACTAGAGGAAGAAAGGGGAAACCTTAACAAAGTTGGTGCGTGAATTAAAAGAATTTTTGGATTAGAACCAGTTGGGGTAAAGTTGTGCTCTGAGATTTAATTCTACATCAGTTTAATATAAGTTCTACATGGTTCACTGCTGTGTGGGTAAATGTTCTAGTCCTGAATGGAGGTGAGGACCACTGATTCCCTTCATTCCTTTCATTGATCGAAAATTTTCGTTTTGTTTGTTAATTATGGAACCTAATACACACAGCGGACATGCGTGTTTAAATTCTGTCAATAAATGTAAAGCAAATGAGATGAAGTTGTTTTAGAAATTGGGGCAATGGAGATGCTTGCTTAATGTCCAACAATAATGTGTTGTTTTACAGTATGACACACATGTAAAAAAAACACCATCGTGAAACCCATGACTTTGTATGCTAGCTTTAAATGTTAATTTAAAAACAACCTTTCATTACCAACCCAACAGAGTATGTTGTTTCTGTCTACATCACAGAACATTTGCCAGTCTCTGAAATGCATTGTACTCTGTAAGTATAGAGTTCAGAAAAATGGCTTGCCACTAGTTTTTGGCTGAGTTATTTATGTGGATGGTAACAATGAATATCAGAAAGTCCAACTTACTAAGGGGTCCACAGCATTTATAATGTCTTATTTTTGAGGTAGAACTAAGGTTTATTCCATATTTAAGATACCGAGCTCTTATTTTGAATGAAAATCTTGGGATCCTCTTTTGTTTTCCGTGACAGTCTTTCTTGTCTTACAGGGAAATGCAAAATGAAGGGGATAGAGGAGGAGGCAATGTATTTTATGTTATGGAAGGTTGGACAACTTTTATTTTCAAGTTTGTAATAAAAAGTTATGATTCTAGATTATAGGAAGACCTTTAAGTGACTTTCAATGCTCTCCAGCTTTGAAATAATAAAAACTCTTTTATTAGTCTCAAGGATGAACTAATAAAAATATAATATTCAGATCAAAGCGAGCCAGAGTTCTGTTCTGTAGTGTTTAATCTATATAGCTTAGTAGCTAATTGCACTGGTGCTGAAGCCAGATCCTAGCCAGATCCTAGGTTCAAACATCAGCTCTGTGGCTTTGTGGCTTAGGGAAAAGCTTAGTTAGCCTTCTTACGCTTTCCCGTCTGTAAAGGAAATGAACTTGTTATGCTAAGTGAGATACACAAGTTACGTGTGTAGCAACATGTGCAAGTTCTAGGCAGTCAATAGATATTAACTGTCATCCTTCAGAATCATGTAAGACATTCTGACACTAATTCTAAAAAGACAGCCCGACTATACCATTTCATTCTTTCTGGGAAAGATAAATATTTTTTACTTATTAATTTATTTGCAAAGGTGTGTGTGCGTGGTAGTCAGAAGACAGCTTGCAAGAGTCAGTTATTTCTTTCTATCATGTGGGTTTCAGGGATCAAACTCAGGTTGTCAAGCCTGGTGGCAAGGCCTTTATCCACTGAGCCATCTTGAAAGTTCAGGGAAGCATATTTTGAAACAAGGCATAGTAGAGAATTGTTGAAGATACCCTGAGAGCAAAGAGTTCTCTTTTCTCTTCAGATACTTGCAGAATTCTCAAGTGCAGACCAGTCAAACTGAACCAAGTGACTGGAAAACAAAGGATGGAAGGATTTAACATCGATATAAGCAAAAATGAAGGGCAATTGCATTGTCCAATAATGTAGTCTCATAGGGCAGTGGACTTGCTGTCAGTAGAGGCATTCAGATTGAGGCTGAACAACTACAAGGCAGTGATGATCTTTCTAAGGCTTTTTTAAAAATTATGTATTGATTTCACATCCCAGTCACAGTTTCCCCTTCCTTGTCTCCTCCTAGTACCTCTTCCCATCTCCTGCCTGCCTCCTCCCCCAAACCACTACACTATTTCTGTTTAGGAAAGGT